AAAAAATTTGTAAACTATTTTTTTTTTACAAAAAAAAATATATAATATTATATTGTACATTTGAGGAATATAAATAATTTTAAAATAACATTTAAAATTGAGAAATAATTTTTAAATTTTAAGCAACCTTGGTTGGATTATACTATGTTTAAGTTTAACGAGTTTTAATTTCATAATCAGCTTCTCTTTGGTATATGCAACTACGAATTAAGGGAATTGTTACGGTAAACTTTTTTCTGTTTGGGCTCCGGCTTTATCAGTAACTAATTTCTGCTGAGGTGGAAACAAGTAAAGTAGGAAATCTATTCTATATTTCCTACTTTACTTGTAAATATCCTTGATTCCGATAAAAAAGAAATAAAATGTAATTATGTAAATGTTAAAGGTCCATTATATTAAAGTCAATAATATAGCAGCTTACCATCATTGCACGACTTAAAATTTTTCAGCATTGTTGTAACAGAAACGTTTGGTATTTTAGTCTGAAGCAGATGTAACAAATTACATATTTTTCGTAAAAACCCACTTGGTCTTCATTGGTTTAGCTTCAGATCAAAATCTATGTCAATCTGTAAAATTTAAGTTAGTTAAAAATAATCTAATTTATAGTGTACTAAGAGTTAACTTACGGAAGGTTTTATGTATTCAGGACATAATTTTAACATCTCGGATAAAGACTTTGATCCCTCAATTTGCTGAAATCTACATTTATAACATTTCCTCCAATATAAATCCATTTCATCGTTAATATAGTATAATCTTACCTAATTCATTACGCAAATTGATTACGTTTTAAAAGACAAAAGACAGTATTACAATAATATTCCTGAAATTATATAATAGTTAATTTGTATTTATGTATATTTTTGCACAAAATATATTTCAGTGGAGGATGCCAACTAGCAGTCTATCTGGGGGCTGTGGGTTCGATTCCCACCAGAGACTCTGGTCTGCTACACTACAACGGGCATATGGTCATCGTCACCCTACCCGATAAATATGGTTAGAATATAATATTTAATTGTGTTGTAATGGACAAATAAATATCTTTGGCGGATTCAAATGACTCATCACAAAAGGAACTCTTTATTAAACATACCATCTTTATGTGGCTTCCGAAGAAAAATTATAGATGTAAATAATTTAAAAAAATGACGATTATGTATATTTGTTTATAATCAGTCTTCACTTTATGTACAAATGCGTATTAAATTATTACAACTATAATTACTTTTATTTTTTAACAGATCACTCTTAACAAAATACGTCCGTCCACTTTGATTTGCAAAATAAAACTAAACATAAACACAAAAACATAAACAAACAAAAATTAACTTTGATAATTTTACTCGTGTCTTGTTTCGACATGATCTTTCAACAACAACAATCTTAAGCTAAAATATGATTTCCAAAAAAAAAAAGTTTTTGTAACGTCTTTCTAAAGCATAGTAACAGCAAATTGCATAGAAACAGCAGAAAAAGTACAACTAAAAGTCCTCGATTACAAAATTGTAGGTGTATTAATCAAACTGACAATTTTTTTTATTCAAACGGATTAATTATTTTATTAAGTGAATTTATCGGTTGCTATTTTTCCAAAGACTAATTATTGACTAATTATTTTATCAACTTAACAAAATTTTTAATCAATAAATTGTCTAAAAAAATTGTAGGCTCCAGTTTTTTCTGTGAACTGAGGTTTGCACAACTATTAATTTAGTTAACATACCTAATATGTGCTTTATAATAATTCATTTTATTCTTTTATTAAGCACAACCGAATTTAGTTTCATAATAGTTCACTACAACTGAATATATTAGTAGTTACAAACAAAAAAAAAACGTTTAGATCAATATAATAAACCAAATTATTGATTTTTGATTTCTGTATTCTCATACTTCCGTAAATAGTATCGAAATTTCGATTATGTTGAATACCAATTTAATCATGTGTTCCATCTCGGTATCTGATTCGGAAATCCCAACCGTGTAAAATATTCAAATGTCAATTGTTTCTTGACGTTTAAAAATAGTTCTAAAAAAGTAACAACCAAGATCAACAAAAAAATTACACAGTGTTTTATAAAATGTAAATTAATAAATAAATAATTAAAAATTACTATTTTCAACTAAAAAGATATAGTTGTGACAACGAATCTGTTTTCTCTGTGTATCTATGGTAGATACACATTTTTAACACAAAATAAACATAAATAAAAATATACATTAAATAACAAAAATTTGATTTTAAATATTTAGGTATCATTGAGATCTTTTTTTGCAGACCACACATAATGTGGTTCGGACTTACATGTAACTTCTTTACATATCATTATGTTGTTTATTGTGCTTTTATCTAGCTTACTTCTAAGTTTTGTTTTTATTAAACTGTGTGGAAGAGAAAGCAAATTAAAAACAAAATTACATAAATCACCATAATAAAATTCATATAAACCATTTTTAAAGGTACTAACATTGTCCCAAAATACATTTATGCTTGCATTAATATCTAAGGATATATCACTTAGCCTATGTAAGTTCCATTGCATAACAATTTTGTCTGGATCACATTCCACTAAATTCTTAAATTTTAGTATTAAGGGCAATATATTTATTTTTTCTTTGGAAAGAACATTTCTGGGTGTTATTATTTGAAGCAATTTTACATCTTCTCTTCCAAAATCAAATCTAACTTTAATTTGGTTTAAATATTCTACATAAAATTGAAGAATATTTGATTTAACTTCCTCGTTTTCATCCTCATTTAAATTATCTAAAGTCGATATCAATGGATTCGCTTTTATTTAAAAAATTACTCATAATTAACAGAAAATTTGATTTTATATTTGTATAAAGGTATGGAAGTCTGGAGCTTTCAGACTGAAATTCCTTATTTAAAGTGTTTATTATTGTTAAAATATATGATAAGAACAGAAAGTAAGTTTTTATTTTGGGTCCCATTGAATTTGCTATTTCTGCTGACCGAATGCCATTAATTTCTAATGAACATGAAATAAAATAAAGTCTTAGACTATCCCATTGTTCGATGATTCTGAAAATTACACCTTCTAATGAAAGCCATCTTGTTAAACAAATGCCTAAAATTGTATGGGGCTTTACGGAACAATAATCTTGAAATTCGTTAAATACTGTAATTCTTTTGGGGCTATGAGAAAAGAAACTATAAATATTTCTACAAAGTTTTTCTATCTCACCCGGAATTTTTTGCAAGCATAACTGCTACATAAATGCAGTGAATGACAGGAGCACTTTACAAAAAAAATTTCCGTTTCTTTTTTTTAGCAATGTTTTTAAGCCACCAACATTACCTGCCATGACGTTGGCGCCATCTGTTGCTAGGCCTATTAAATTATTAATTGGAATGTTGTTCAATTCAAAAAAATTCATTACGACCTGGCAAATGGAAACTGCATCAGCCTTCGATAGTTCTAACAATGCTAGAAATCTATCATGAACAGTTTTTGCACCGTCGACAAATCTTGCAACTAGAACCAAACATTTTTTTACCGAAACATCGGTTGTTTCGTCCACTATTAATGAAAATTTTTTGGAGCGAAGGTTGGAAAATGTTTTTTCTTGGGCTTTTTTGGCAATAAATTCAGCCGCCTGCGTTGCTTTTGTACGTCCACATTTTAGAAGTCCAGCTATTTGGGAGTCTGGACAACATTCTGCAACCAATGCCGGTAAATAGTCCATTAGCAGGAATGGAAGGTTGTGGGTAATACAAAACATTACCAACGTTAACTCAGCTTGCCAAACTTGTTCCTGAATTTTTGTTTTTTTTATATTTACATATTGTGTTAATTTTATTTGATTTTTTTTACTTCATAGTTATTTATGTGAAAATTAGTTTTTTATGATTCTTTAAATGAGTGCAGTGATTTAAAACAGTTTTGGAGCATACAATGCAAAAACAACTTCCATCCTTTTCTTCCAACCAATCAAAAAGTTGAAGCCACTCACTCCTAAATTTTCGCTTCGTCTTGCAAATTTGACCACTACAAAAAAATTGAATTATAAATATTTAACTCATATTTATTTTCTATAAGTTTTATTACCTGGTTGATGGTTCATTATCATTTAATATTTGGCTATCTTCTTCAGCATTAGTTGCCAGTCTTGGAGTTTTTGAGAGATATCTAAAAATACTACATATTTTAACCATTAAATAAACTGGCAAAATTTTAAAATTACCTGTCCATAACTTCTTGCGACATTTTACAATACAATTGACGAATGTTTTGTTGACATTTCTTTTACGCTGACACTTTATTAATTTCGTTGTTTTCTTGTAAACACAGAGATGTTATACATTTAAAGACGTTAAAAAACAAATATTTATACATATGTCTAATGATTCGTTGTAAAAAAAGATGGTTTAAAAACAGGGTTTCCAACTTTTTTGTTACACAGACATTTTTAATGTCATTTATAATCTTTCAAATTAGAAATTTCCACAACTTTAAATTTTTAAGATATCAATTGTATTTTCCTACCAAAAAATTGATAAAATTTAAACAAACCAACCAAACTACCAATCCTTGCATTTGAAAATAAATACTACCAATTTTGTCCAATTGGACCAAAACGTCAACGCTGCCTCTAACTTCGGCAGTTCTTGACTGATAGAGCTGAAAATTTGGTGCAAATTTCATCCAAATCGATTTTTTGAGTTGGATCACCTGACACGAAATTTCCCATATGTATATAATACTTACATAAGTACTTATGCGTAATGAAAATTACAAAAAGTTTAATTTTCGTTAATTTATATATTTAATATGTACATACAGTTTTTATTACACAAACAATTCAAGTTTCAACAAAAACAATTGCAGAGTAGTTTTTTTCTTACCGCTATTACTTCATTTAAGGATGTAAATATTTAATGTTTTTATATATTATTATAATTAGTTATTTATAATTACTTCTAGATTTATGGAGTCCTTATCATTAGGATTAGGACGAGTGTCTTTTTGAAAAAGATACTTAATTTTATAATTAAATTATTTTCATAATTGTATGTTTGTCTAGTCTAAAGCATCAGACCCTGTACTAGGTAGTAACCAACATAAAAATCCGCTAACTGAAAAAAAAAACAATTAAAATAATTTTATTAGAATTAAATAAGTTTAAAGATTTATGAATGTTAAATATGATTTTAATAATAGTACATATATTTCGATTAAAATCACGAAACTTACTGAACAGCATTGCAGAAAACACAACAATAGGAATAATACAATTGAGGTCAATTAGAAATCCAAATATAAGATTTCCAAGTAAAGCTCCACTTCGACCAAAAGTCATAGACAATGCAGCCGCCATTACTCTAAAAAATAATAAAATGTTTAAAAGAATATTAAATTAAATAAAATATAGAAACATAATTGGAAAAATTAAAGAAACAAATTTTAAAAATTTTAATGTTCACAAACAAAAATTTAAATGTTATCGTGAAAAGTATATAAGATTCGACATAGCCAAATACAAAACTATTAGAGCGGGTTTTTGAGTTGGCAATTAAATCCAATTAATAATCAGATTTGTTTATCTTAAAATAAATTTAATCTAATGCTAAACCCCTTTGAAGTTATTGAGAACAAATTTATACTTCGCAGTGTTGCCATATAAAACAACATAAAATGTCACTGTTTGCTATCAAAACAATGCATGTTTTGTATGTATGTATGTAAATATGTATGTATGTATGTATGTATGTATGTATGTATGCATGTATGTATGTATGTATGTATGTATGTATGTATGTATGTATGTATGTATGTATGTATGTATGTATGTATGTATGTATGTATGTATGTATGTATGTATGTATGTATGTATGTATGTATGTATGTATGTATGTATGTATGTATGTATGTATGTATGTATGTATGTATGTATGTATGTATGTATGTATGTATGTATGTATGTATGTATGCACGGGTTTCAGATCAAACAATATTGTCAGGCCTAGAGCACTTTTAGCTCAGGGAACACCAACGTGATATACGAGTCATGTGACACTAGTTTGTAGGGAAAGAGGGTAAAGAAGAAAGGGAAGTAACAAAAGACGCACGAATCGTAATTTGAGGGGGTTTTTGATATTTCTTTTGTTAGGCTTTCGTAATTTTGGCAGTTGCTATATTTTTGCGATCACTCTAATACATGAATCAGTGTTGCCACAAGCAATATTTTGAATTTAATTTATATGTACATATGTATTTCATTTAATCTAAAAATAATAAATATTTGCTTGTTATATTTTAGTTATTTTAAAAATATATAAATTACAATTACTTGATATTGTAAGTAAAGTTTTTTTCAATTACAATTACTTGTAATTGTAATTGAAGTTTTTTCAATTACAATTTCTTGTAATTGTAGTTTTTCCAATTACAATTACTTGTAATTTAGGTATCACTAATTACAAATTACATGTAATTATAAGGAACAAAATTGTAATTGGAAATTTTTCAGTCAAAATTACAAGAATTTGTAATTTGCAAAACTTCAATTACAAGTAATTGTCAAAACTCCAATTACGATTACAAATAATAGTAATTGGCAAATTTCAATTACAATTAAAAGTAATTGTAATTTAAAAATGTAATCATTATCCCCAAGCATGAAAAATAACAATAGTTCTCAGCTAAACTCATATTTTAATAAACAATTGAGTGTTTTTCGTCAAATTTGTATAAATTGCCAGGAAAAAACTTACATTGAAAAGTAATGAGTTAAAAAGCTAATAAAACCTTTGTTCACTATTCTTCATTAGCATTTTAAGTCATTATTTAACACGGTGATGTCATTGGATGCAAGTACATCCACGCTCGCTTACAAATGGGCATATCGTCTGATACATATGAAACATTGCATATGTAAAATACATGTGGAAATACATATGTAATTTGTTCGATTAGAGCGTGCTCTATTTTCGTATGACAAACATAAATAAAACAGCTGTTTTGCTTTGAAATAAAATTTAAAAAAAAAACAAGTTAGAGTGCTATATTCGGCTGAGCCGATTCTTAAATACCCTCCACCAGCTACTTTTATATTAATACTTTTCTAATTGATCAAATATTTGTAGAAATAAGTTTTCTCATGTCTTAAATAGAAAAAATCCCAAGATTTATTTAATTTTGTAATAAGTTATGAGTATTTATGTGATTTTCTGAAGGGAAGCATGTATAGGACCGACCGCACCCATGTTATGAACCGATCGTGAAAAAATCTTGAAATATAATTTTTGTATATAAAACTAATATTTGTGCCAAATTTTGTATCAATAGCTTTATTTGGTAATGAGTAATGTGAGTTTAAGAGATTTTCGTCAAAGGACCTTGTATGTGAGCTATGACCAATTATGTATATAAAGACAAATTTTCAAAATTCTGTATCTATATCATTATTTGGTAATTAATATTGTGCATTTAAGTGATTTTCTGGAGTTGACCTAGTATGAGAGCTATGACCAAATATGGACCGATTGCAAAACAATTTTATAGCGTAATTTATGTATATAAGAGCAATATTTGTGCTAAATGTTTATATATCAATATTTTGTAATGAGTTATGTGCGTTTATGTGATTTTCGGGAGGGGACCTTTTATGGGAGCTATGACCAATTATGGACCGATCCGAAAAAAACTTCTATAATAATATTTCTGTATATGTGAACAATACTTGTACCAAATTTTATATGGATATCTTAATTTAGTAATGAGGTATGTGCGTTTAAGTGATTTTCGGAAGGGGACCTTGTACGGGAGCTATGACCAATTATGGACCGATCGGAAAAAAATTCCATAGTAATATTTCTATATGTGAGAGCAATACTTGTACCAAACTTTATATTGATATTTTAATTTAGTAATGAGTTATGCGTGTTTAAGTGATTTTCGGGAAGGGACCTTGTATGGGAGCTATGACCAATTATGGACCGATCGGAAAAAAAATTCACAGTAATATTTCTGTGCATATGAGCAATACTTGTACCAAACTTTATATGGATATTTTAATTTAGTAATGAGTTATGTGTGTTTAAGTGATTTTCGGGAGGGGACCTCGTATGGGAGCTATGACCAATTATGGACCGATCGGAAAACAATTTCACAGTAATATTTCTGTGCATATGAGTAATACTTATTGCAAATTTTATATGGATATCTTAATTTAGTAATGAGTTATGCACGTTTAGGTGATTTTCGGGAAGGGTCCTTGTATGGGAGCTATGACCAATTATGGACCGATTGGAAAAAACTTTCACAGTAATATTTCTGTGCATATGAGCAATACTCATTCCAAATTTTATATGGATATCTTGATTTAGTAATGAGTTATGTGCGTTTAAGTGATTTTCGGGAGGGGACCTTATATGGGAGCTATGACCAATTATGGACCGATCGGAAAAAACTTTCACTGTAATATTTCTGTGCATATGAGCAATACTTATTCCAAATTTTATATGGATATCTTAATTTAGTAATGAGTTATGCGCGTTTAAGTGATTTTCGGGAGGGGACCTTGTATGGGAGCTATGTCCAATTATGGACCGATCCAGAAAATTTTTTTTCTCAATGAATTATATTAACATAAGATTTAAATTTGTAAAATTTTGTGAAGATATCAACATTCTGACGGAAGTTATTAACAAAAAACTCATTTTCCGGGAATATGCACTTTTGTATGGGAGGTATATGAAATTATGGACCGATGCTGGCAATTTTCAGCAGAAATAAATATCTTGTGTAGAAACGAATGTATGATGACTTTCATGAAATTATCTTGCATAGTTTTCGAGAAAATTACATCAGAATGTGTAAAAAATGCTTATTTTTTCGAGGTTGTTTTAAATTTTGATTCATAACTTTTCCCAATGTGAACCGATTTTGCTAATTTTCAATACCAAACTGTACCGGATAATAATGAATGTTTTGGGTGAATTTGGTTAAATTATATTGCTTCGTTTTAACGTGAGCGTGTTTTACACAGACAGACAGACGGACGGACGGACAGACGGACATAGCTAAATCGACTCAGAATTTCATAAGGACCCAGAATATATATACTTTGCTGGGTCTCAGATGAATATTTCTTGGTGTTACACACGGAATGACAAAGTTATATATACCCTCTATCACCACTGATGGTGGTGGAGGGTATAATAAATTAAAGAAAATGAATAAATAACATGAAAAAGTAAGTATTTTTAATTTTTAATAAACTAATTTATAATTTTAAAAATTTTTACATATTAAAAAGACAGCTTTGATTACATTTATAGGCTATGTCATACGGAAAAACACAGGCAGGTGTGATAGCAAAAATTATGAATCGTATGTAAAATAACAATTCTGACATACATTCGGAATTACATATGGATAAAAAGAGTGACAGTTTTGGCAATGACCTGACAATAAAAATTTGCCACCACAAAGTAGATTGTCCGTCCACACGGTTGCAAGATATTTGTCAGAAAATCTGGCAATACATTGCAAGACAATTTTCTGACAATATCAAATAATATTATCGGTTCATACGGTAGTCAGAGTTGTCAGAATTTATTTTTGGTGCGCAAGCAGTTTGCCTACATCTTTTCGCTTTTGAGTTTTTATGTGACAATGAGGCCTCACAGTGGAAATTTTTGTTGTTTTCTGATCATAAATCTGTAACTTTTTATCTGTTCAACATAAATGCCTAAAATATTACACTAATAATTTTGACAATATTTCTGATCATATATATTACTTAATATGAGCTGATCGTGTATATCAACAATGGTTGCTTGGTAATATATGTTTAAAATTAAATATTTTTATTGCAACAGTTTGAACAAAAGTTTTGTTGTAATAGCCGAATTCATAATCTAATGTAAATGGTCTTGCATCATTGCATTTGAAAATGGCTTAGTAATTTTTTACAATACACTAACAAATTATGTAGAAGTACTATTCCTACGGTTTATAAAATATACTACACTTAAATACGTACATAGTTTTTATTTACTTAACATTTTGCAACACTTACTGACAGCTCAAAAAATAAAATATTAAAATAAAAAAATACAAATGGAAACAAAAAAATTAAAACAAGTAAGAAATTATAGTCGGGCGAGGCCGACCATATAATACAAATAATTACAATAATAAATTACAACAAGTTAGAGTGCTATATTCGGCTGAGCCGAATCTTAAATACCCTCCACCAGCTACTTTTATATTAATACTTTTCTAATTGATCAAATATTTGTAGAAATAAGTTTTCTCATATCTTAAATAGAAAAATCCTTAGATTCAAAGCTCAAATCTATTACAATTCTAAGAT